CTCAGTTGATTAGAGCAGTGCTACTCATTGTGGTCTATGGAGAAGGACTGGTCTGTTGTCAGCAAAGAGAAGAATTCAAAAATTAAGAAAAGGTGTTCAGAAGTTTTTAGAAGTATTTGGCAGAGACGATTTCTATCTGAATCTAATCATAACAACTAGGGGTTTATTTATGTATTTTTTGTAAAAGCTTAATGGCATTGAAATTTAGTAGAGCTCCTATTTCTGGTCAGAATGAGATTAAAGTGTCTCTTTTGGTAGAGTTATCACCAACACAAAACCTCATCATTATATGAGCATGCTGACAATAATAATAAGCTTATATCTGAATAGCACTTAGTAAGTATTAAAGCATGAAGTGATGTCTTGGTTTGGGACTCCCCAGATGCAGATCTGGAGAGAATAACCTGAGCAAGTAGCTCCTTTGGGAGACGATTCCAGTGCGCAGGAGTAGAGAAATGGAGATGAAAGACAGGGTTGAGAAGGAAGCTAGTACATGGTATAATGACCATCATGGATGACTGAAGCTCGGTCCCACTGGAAGCTCTGGGAATGGTATTAAATATGCCTCAGAATTGCCCCCTGTACCCCTTTCCACCTGCCCCCCCCACCCCCCGCTTGAGGGGTGAGGGAACTGGGTTATTCATCTACCAAATTCTTGTCAGTCAACTGTGAAGAGTTCCTGAGGGACACTCTTAACTCCTGGCACTTCAGTCTGCTCCTGTGCAAGCTGAGTGGGCCCCACTGGCTAGAGAAAGCTAGTAGGCAAAGACTTGCAGATGCCTCCAAATGAAAATTGGGTTGGTATGCAAGATATGGCAAGTTCCAAAGGATATGAAGGACATCAAAAGTGTCTGCCAATGAATAGGTAGGACAGGTGGTCTTATCCAATTTGTAGATAGCAAACTGAGGTCCAGTTTAGCATTATAATAACAAGTGGAATGAGAAGGATCTCTCCCTTTGGTCACCTACTTTGGGTCCATCCAGAGCCCATTCCACTAGCTTTCATTCCTGCCTTGTATAACCAGGTAGTTGTTGGTCTACCTGTGTGACAGAGACTGGCTGGGTGCTCACACAGCCCATATCTGGTTACTGGGTCCCCAGATGGACTCCTTCCCCAGTCTCTCTTTCAGAAGAGTGTGGCATGTAACGAATCTGTGGGTTGAGTGGAAGTGATATACAGTACTTCCCTGCCTGACCTATACAAACCTTTATGCATATTCCACCTGCTCTTTACTCTCTGAACCAGCTGGAATAAAGATGACCCTGAGGGTATCCTAGAAAGTCGCACCTTGAAGATGGCCAAGCCACAATAAGGAAGGAGCCTGGGTCCCTGGATCATCACTTAGAGGAGAGCCACTTGGCCAGAAACATACTCTTTAGATTTTTTTATTGTGTTAAGCTGCTATGATTTTGAGAATTGTCTATTGCAGCAACTAACATTACTTTAAATAAGGCTACATACACATGTGATCAAATAATTCAGTTTTTATTTCATCACTTATTATCTCAGATGATGTATGTATCTATTTATCAGCTATTTACCCTCCAATGAGAAGACCTGGATTTGTACATTGCTGTATCTTTGGCATCTGGGACAATGCCTGGCAACTAGTATGTGTTCAATACATTTTTGTCTAGTTACTAAATATTAATGCCCAGTCTTCATTGCAGATGGTACACAACAGGCCCTGTGCTGGGAACTTTATGTCTCTTATTTTAGTTCATGTTCACAATTATATGAGGAAATTGAAATGTGTAGAGGCTAGTTAACTTATCCAGTGGTACCCAGCAAGCTAGTGAGGGAGCAACAGCTGGAATCTAGGTAGTCTGAGTCTGATTCAACCCTCAAACTCTTAAGCCCTCTGTACATTGCCTGATGACGTCTGCCAGGTGCAGTGCTAGCAGCTGGGGGTGTAGGAAAGCGTGAGACACAGCACCAGCCCCTGAGGCCTGCCCAACAGGCAACAGCATGGGGTTTATGTGCAGTGGGGGAAGACAGACCAGTCTCTGTTCTCATCCTGGCGCTTTGCTAGAAATGTTGAGCTCTTCTACTTAACCTAACCTGAGCTAGGACTCAGCTACAGGATCAAAAATTCTCTTATGAAATGAAAGAATGGAGCAGAATATATAGAAACGAGGCCAGGTTCCGTCTCCAGTGTGAGACACCGTAAAGACTGGTGCAGGGACATTTGGCAGATTTGAACAATTCGAGCAAAGGCAGGGTGAGTCGAAGCAAAACAAACAAAAACTGATCTTGTGAGTGTCGGGAAGAGTTAAGAAGAGAGTAGAGCAAGGGGTTAAGTTTAAGAATGTGAGCTTGGTGATTAGACAGAACTGACTTCAACCAGCTCTGCATTTATGGAGTGTTAAGACCTTGGGCAAGTTTGCTAATCTTGTTGAGCTTCTTTTTCCTCATCTTTAAAATGGATTTAATATTTCTGCCTCCCACGGTAAAACAATTAGCTTAGAAGCCTAGAGTGAAGAGTGACTGCTATAGCAACTATTCTTTGATCCCTGGCCTTAGGATGGAGAATTCTACCCTCTTGGCCACAGAGCTCTAAAGACAGAAACTGTTGGGAGGCTATAATCATGGCGGACACTTGAATTGGGCTGAAGAGAAAGCTCTGCACTTCCCAGACCTCTCCCTCGCTCTTCTCATGTGCAGCCGCTAGAGGGCCATGGGCATCTCTTTTCCACTATGGGCTTGCTCACAGGTGGCACCAAGAGGCCCAGTGGATTACTAGAAAAAGGCTCTCTTTTCAGGCAGAGGCAAAGGAGCAAAACATTTGATGAAAGCAGCTGCTGAGGGGTCATATTTACAGGTGCTGCAGGTGAGGGCACAGAGATCCTACTCTGCTGCAGGCAAAGTTGGCCTTGAACACATGATCCACTTTCTGTGAGGGAAATTAATTATCTGGAGTTACCCTGGGGCTGGCTTGTGGCCTTGTATTGAGTTAGTTAGGTCTTCTTGTCTTATTAGATAACCTGAGAAGAGGGGTGTGGATTTCTGAGGATCACTCATTGGCCTCCTAGAGCTTTGGGACTAAAAACTAGCTAGCTCATCTTGATTGAGGAAGATTATAGTTTAGCAAATTCCAAAGTTGTGACACTGTCCTCATGAAGGACAGAATACAAGGGGTGGTCTCAGTAGGCAAAGTGCCCAGGAGCCCTCCTCTGCTCCCATTTCATTTTACCTTCCAACTTTTAGTTCCTTAGATCAGCAAGGCCTGATATGAAAAGGCAGATAGCCTTTTCATTGCTCACCGCAGTCACTCTCACTGTAGTAGGAAAGAGCTGTTCCCTTTAATGTTCTATGCTGAAATTTTAACAAAACCTCCTGAGATATGGCTCCATAACTTGCCACTCTTGTTCCTCTGCTTATCACTGTAAACATCCCAGTCTTCAGAAAACACAGAGCTCTTTCCTTGTTGCTTGCCTTTGTCCATACTGCTTTCTTGCTCCAAATGTATCCACTTCCACCTCTGTCTTCACTGCTTTATAAAATACCACTCCTCTATTAGACCCTGTAGCTACTTTCCTGATTCCTGCCTCTTTTTTCTTATCATACTTTGCACTTACCCATATCAGAGGGTATTATTGCTGTACGTCTCTCCTCAGCATTCAATTATTGAGCCTCTCATGTGCTTCATCTCCAGCGTCTGCTTGAATACCTGTCCTGACAAGGGACTCACTGCCTCAAAGGTAATGCATTTTGCTGCAATAAGCTCTTTGCAAAAGTAGTTTTTCTGTTATTAGAAACCAAATCTGCTTCCCTGTTTCCCTTATTTCATAATTAGAAATAGATCTTAAATACCCTGAGAGTAGGCAATACATGGATAATTCATTCTTAAGTGTAAATAACTGATAAAAGCTTTTACATATGTACAAGAGTTTATAGGAGAGCCTAAAGGTGGGTCATTTTGAATATTAAAGATACCAAGAATATGAGGACACCAAAAAATTGATGTAGTAGAAAGAGCATTGGGCTAGGAAATGAAAGATGGGACCAATGTGATTTATTTACTTTTGTCATCTGGGAAAGGATGATGAATAGTTCTACTTATTACCATAATCGCAGAATTTTGTTTGAAAGCAGCCCTGCTCATCTGTGCTGTCTTAAGCCTTTACTCTAGCTTGGTTTTCTTAGCTTTTTCATAGTGCTGGGTAGGCAAAAAGTTGCATGTGTGGCAATAAGCTTTGGCCTTCTGGTAGCTGGATTGACATTCTTGGTGCCAAAGATGTTATGACTTACACCACCCACCATCACATCAATCAATGAGCCATTTATTCCCACCTGGTTTGAACCTTCCTCTCCCTGCTTCAAAGCCCTGCTTCACCAGGGCTGTTTATGGGATTTGTGTCATAAATATTTGCATATAACACATTTACTGTAGGTAACACATTTTATTATGATTTTATTATATATTCTCTTTTCCTGGAGTTTTGCAAGTAAAGATTACATAAGAACCAACTCTTTATTTGTCCTAAGTTCCACACTATAGAACCAGGTCATATTACAACTGCTTGATGCACAATATTCAATGACTCAATAAATACTTTACAAAAATAATGTTTTTTTCCTTTCTTAAAACATAAAAAATTAGGATTTCCTAGACTTGAGTCCCCCTCTTCTTTTTATATTTATTTATTGTTAATATATTGGTGGAGAAAAAGATTGTTAAGATGGTATTAAAATAAAATAGATGAAATGAGGTCCATGTTATTTTTTTCTATCCATCTTGCTTTTTTTTTTTTTCCTTTGGAAAAGTGCCACTCCCTGCTTCTTTGTAAGATCTTCCTGACTTCTGTAAGCCTTCTGGACTTACTAAGACAAGAGCAGAAATTCTGCCATTCTGAAGCCTTTTAGTAGCATCAAACATTATACTAATATTGGCTTTTTATTTTAAAGCTCATTTAAAACCAAGCCCCAGATTTGTCCTTAAAATATCCAAAAAAAATAAAGGCATTTGGACACTGAGACTTTAGCAAGGTGCCTCATAACTAAATAATATTTGGTTTAAGGTGAGAATTTTCTCGATTTTGATATATTTCCATTAAGTTATTCATTTTTAAAGAAATCATTACAAATTCCCTTTTTCTTCCACCTCCCTAAGCCCTGTCTGAACTCTCACAGAAGTGATTAAACAGTTCACGATGACAACTCCAGAGAAAAGTTTAAGCTTAAGTCACATTCATATTAAATAAGTTACATATAAAAACTTATGTTTACAACTTCAGTCTCTTTCCCCTTTTGCTTCTCTAGGAAACACTGGATCTGGGTGTAAATTGAAACCCACCCACTATGGCTTCCAGGTTCTTCTGGCTTCTTTGTCCTCATCCTCCTGCCCACATCACACGTAGGAGGAAGTCCAAGGAGGTCTGTGGGCAGTGTAGATGGCAAGGGTGGCTTCAGACGGCGGTCACCGGGCCTGGCGCACATCCCTAGTGTAATTTATGAACAATAGTGGTGTGGTATATACAAATACCCATGTATGTGGGTAAGAGGGACTCTGCTCCAGGTGGCAGATCAGTACAGTGCATTTGTGTCACAAATACCAGAGGTGGCATCTCTTTAATACTCCCTGGCCTCTTGGAACTGCTTAATGTAGTCTTCATCAGAGGGACTCTCCGTGCACTTCTGTCCATTGTTGGGAGGCCGGGCCTCGTTATACCTGCTCCAGTCTCCCTTGCAGATAATCCAGGGCAGGACATCCACCTTGTAGTGGAGCTCCGCTGAGAACTCCGTGCTGATGAGGTTAGGTGTCCCTGCCCCTTTGCCCCTAGTGATGAGCTGCATGTTGTCGCCATAGCAACAGTGCTGGGCAGCCAGCGTTGTGCTCTCCAAGGACAGCATGGAGCGAATGCAGTACCGGGCTGTGGGCTTGTAGATCTCCAGCTTCTCTTTGGGCCCACTAGCGTCCTTCCAGCGGAAGTCCTTGCGCTTGATGCGGTCGAATATGTCCGCTGTGCTATAGGCCACTTCTGTCGGGTAGGAGCAGGGGCAGCTGGGCAAGTCGTTGATCACTTTGTGCATGTACTTCTTTAAGAACTCACTTTTGCAGCTCATCCATCGCTCACAGCTGTCCGTGTCTGAAAAAGGCCACAGAGAAACCCTCTCACCACTGCAAAACTGGCAGTGGGATGACATTGCAGTCTATCCCTCTTCTCCCAGAGTCAATCCCCTGCCACCCCTTGGCTCATCAGACCATGGGAAACCATACTCACCTCCCTTGAATTTGGGAACTTTGAACTTGACTACCTGTGTGCCATTACCTAGATTTAACCATCATTATATTTGCTTCATTTTTTAATTTTTTTTGAAACTATATGATATTATTATTCCTAAGTTTAAGTTTTAGTAGGCATCTACAAAAAAAAAAAAGAAGAATATAGGGAATAAGGGGTCAACTATAACCTAATTATCACCCATAACAAAATTAACAATAATTCAGAGGGCCATTTTAAATCTTCTCTTTAAATGCATGGTAATGGGGGTAGAAAATACCTCAAAAGAATATTTGTAGGACTGTTTTATTTCTGCCACTCACTGGTTTAAACTAGAGCTAGTGGCCTAACCTCTTACCCTTAAGCTCCAAACAGTAACAATCACTGTATGAAAGTCCATATGATAAAATGCTTCAGAGGGAGAAGGGGCTGGTGGCCCTTGCTTTTAGGGAACTTAATATTTAGGCCAGAGGACACTGACCTGTAGACTTTGAGCCAGAATACTGAATTAGTTGCTAACATTTAAGAACTAGGTGATTCCACTTATTCATGTAGATTCCTGATTTCATGTGAAAATCCAAAAAAAATATGTTTATGCTGGTCCTGCATTGTCTCAGGGGAACAACTGGCAGAGTGAACAGGCAAACAGTGACCATTTGTGCAAACCAAGTTTGAGCAGAAAAAATCTGCTGGGGTCGTCTGTCGGCAGGAAATACATTTAGTTTCATGGGAGCAGACGTTATGTTGAAGTAAGGTTGTTGTGTCAGATCACAGAGGCCTTCAGTGCAGGTTAAGCTTGTTCAGAGGGCAGTAGGGAACCACTGAAGGTTTTTGAGTGACAGTGAGCTATCAACTGAGCTGTACAGTAAGAAGATACATTTAGTGCTGATATAAATGCTAAAAGTCCAGGTGAGATTCTCTGAGAGGGAACAGCAGGTGAGATCAAGTATGGTCAGAGAGATAGGGCTTCCAAGCCTTGGTGGGCTTTGAGTAAAGGGAGGAAGATGTCAAAGATGACTCATGCTCTGGCCCAGGTGCCTGGGAAGCTGGTGGTGTCATGAGTGGAAATCAAGTGGCCGGGGAGGGGAGCAGCTTGGAGGAGTTCTCTTCAGTGAAATGAGGAAGAGAAAGATGGGACATCTCTTAGGAAATCAGAAAGGTCTGGCCTAGATGAAAAATGTGGGTTCTTGTGCTAGACCACCTGAGATAGGATCCCAACTGAACTCTTTGTGATTCTGAGCCAGATATCTTTCTCACTATGCTTCAGTTTTCTCATCTCTAAATTAGGGATGACAATAATGCCTGTTTCATAAATTGCGATGAGGATTAAATAAGAGGGAATGCAGAGATTATATAGAAGAGGGTCCAGGGTGTTGCCAGTGGGCAGGGACATTTGAGGCTCCTTTTGGCTCTGAGTTCTATGATTCCACCCCTGCAAGCCCCTGACTGAGTCGTAGCTGAGAGAGTAGAGGCTCCTTTCTGGGAAGTGTGTCTCTGCAAAGCCAATGGGGGTCTCTTTCAGAGGGCAGGTTCTTCAGAGACAAAATTCAGGCTCAGTAAATGGCTTTGTATTTTCCTTCCAGAGTGGAAGGTCATCATAATTCATGTACCTATAGGACATCTATTGACTTATTTTTATCTATCAAACATAAATGTTCAGTGTGATGGATATGTTATAAGTGCTTTACAAATCTGAACTCATTTAATTCTACAATAACTTTGTAAGGTAGGCACTAGTACCTCCTATCATTTTACAGATCAAAAAATGGAGGCAGTACTGGGTTAAGGAACTTGACTTTGTACAAGAAATATGCTGGGAGAATTGACCCCATAATGGGAAAACGAAACATTTAAAGGGATCCAAGGATGATCTTGTGGGCAAAAGGAATCTCCAAAACACTAAATGAATATTTAGATAATAAAGAAAATGAACCTTCTTACCAACTTCAAACAGTTTGGTGGCATTAAACTCCTCGCTTCCCGCAAGCAGACTCACTTCGGTGGCGGCTGTTCTGAAGGTGTCTTCAATTCCTAAACACATACAGGAGCTTATTTTTCCCTAGTTATGTGGAAAAAGTCCCCTTGACCACCAATTAAAAAAAAAACAAATACACCTGAACAAAGCCTTTTTTTGTGTTTATTACTACTCATGGGTAGAAACTTGCCAACAGAGGAAACAGTAAAAAGCAGGTAGTTGAATGTAAAATATATTAAAACCCCAGATACCATTTGCAGCATGAAATCAGATCCAAATGTGCCTGAATGAATCCTAAGGAACTGATTCACAAGGCCCAGGAGTGGGGTTTTGGGCAGTGGGGGACACATGTCAAGATGGCTTTCTGTCTGGCAGTGTCAGGGAAACAAACTAAACTAGAGGCAGTGGTTAAGGATTGAGTGACTGGGTTAAATCATTACCAGGCATGTGACATTGGGCAAGCCACTTAACATTTGTGTACCTCAGTTTTCACATCTATAAAATGGGGAGAAATAAATGACCCACCTCACAGAGTTGAAAAAATTAAACGGGCTATGTATAAAGTACTTAGAGTATTAAGTGGTAAGTGTTGGCTGATATTTTTTTCCTTGAATATTTGTCTAGCTCATTTTGAGGATGCAGCAGTCCACCGCTAAATATCAGGCATCGCATACATTCTGGAACTTTCAGCATTGCTGATGATGCTTTAATAAGAGTTAGCTGGGCTTGTCATTACTTGCTCTGAGGGACTGAACCCAGCTTGCCTCAAACTTCCTGGCTCCCCTCCCCTCCCCTCCCCAAACTACCACCCCGCCCAGGCTTCCTTTACAAACAGGAATCCTATGCAAGCTGAGGCAGTCAGAAGAGGCAGGGATTGTGGAATGTAGACTAGTTGTTGGAGAGCCTTGGCTACTTGCTAGGTATGACTTGATTTCCTTTAAGGGGCTCTCTCTGATCTTAGGTGAGGCTCCTTGAACTTATTTATATGGTTGACCTAAGGTACAAACTTTTACAGCAGAATCACTGCTAGGCCAGGGAGACCACCTGCCCTAGGATTCTTTCTAATGAGGCTGAGAATCAACACACCAAATAGGGAAAAAAAATCCTGTAAAAAATACCTCATGTTTCCAAGGGAACCCTGAAAAGCTGGAAGAGCCAGAAACTGAGAGGCAGAAAGGATGGAAGGAGTACAAAATCAGATGAGAAGAAAATGCATGAGGAGAGCTGCTGGCCATACTGCTCTCAGTGGTAAAGAGAAAACAAGAAGGCAATATTCAAAATGGTGGCAGAGAAGAACCTTTCCCTAATGACAGCTAAATCTACCATCTTGGGTCTGGATACCAGCTCTGGAAGAAATAACAAGAGGCAAGCTCCCAAGCCCTGACATTAAATACTGTCTATATCCATGTGTGGCTGAACCCCAAACCCTTCCTCCTTCTGGAGGTGGAACAGTTAATGGTTAAGAGCATAGACTCTGGAATTGGCTGCCTGGATTAGAATTTCAAACTGATCACTTACTGTCTGTGTGACTCTAGCCAAGTTAACCCCTGTGCTTCAGTTTCCACAGTTGTTAAATGAGTACAATAATAAATGCCTATTTCATGAGGCTATTGCGAGGATTAAATGAAAAATACATATAAAGACCTTAGAAATTTGCTTGATATAGAGATACTCAAAAAATCCCATTCTTCATAATTTTTTTTCATTTTTCTTCATCTTCTTCATATTTCTCTTCATTTTCTTTTGCTTTATCTTCTTATCTCCATCATCTTCTTCAGATTCTCCTCCTTTTCCTTCTTCATTTTCTTCCCGTACTCCTTTTCTTCTTCCTTCTCATATTATTATTATTTATTGGCTTATTTGTACTCATGCAAATCCCAACCTATCAGACTTCCAACTCAGCATCATTCAGGAAATCCACTTAGGAAAAGCATCTAGATGTTTGCTCCACTTTTTAAACTCCATCTGCATGGCCGACAGGGAGTGGGAACTGCCACTTTCTACATTTCAGCCCTATTTTCTACACATATCCCTTTGCCAGCTTATACATGCCTTCCTTTCTCTCCTCTGAAACCCCATTTGCTCTTCTACTTCTTTTTCGTTCCAAATCTCAGCCTTACGGTTCGAGAACAGAGTTTCTAGGGATAGAAAAAGAAAGTCCCGGGTCCAGAGATTAAATTTTCTGTTTCTGAATTCCTTTGAGACAAAGTCATTTAGAATATGTGATTTCTTGGAAGAGCCTAAGGTATTATTTTAGGCCGGCATTCTACCTGGCAATGGGGAACACAGAGTAAATGTAAAACTACAGACCAAGAGTTGGTAAACTTTTTTGGTTAAGAGTCAGAGCGTAAATATTTTAGGCTTTGTGGGTCACATATGGTCTTGGTTGCATATCCTTCCTCCTCCTCCTTCTTCTCGTCTACTTCCTTTCTTCTCTTTCTTCTTCGCAACCCTTTAAAAATGTGTGGGCCATGCAAAAAACAGGCCATGGTGTGACAACCACTACTACAGACAGTCACAATTATTTTTCACCCCCAACTAATTGGCAGACAAGAAGATTGTCATGTGTTTGGTGTTTAAAACACTGACAGTGCAGTTTAAAGTGATAATAAACTGCCAAGTTGCCCAATTTGCTACCTCGGAAGCCTTCAGCAGCTCTCAGGCTTAGGATAGGGCTAACTGTGTGGTTTTTCTATAAATGGATGTCAAGCCTCTCATCCTGGCTCCCTATCAGAACATGAATGGCTGTCTTTATGTGTCTCTTCAAGGAACAACAAACCTCACTTCAAAGACCCAAGTTAACCGGAGTCCCCTCTTTAAATTAAGTAAGTACACTACAGCATTGTCTTCTAGGTCACAGCTACCACAATTTGCGTGAGACTCAGGAAATCCAACTTTTCATCCAGTAAGTTTGTTACTCGCCTCTTGTCCCAGTCTGGTCTGAATTCTGATTAGGGAGATGTCTTTTAAGAAGTCAATTTCTATAAGCTTTTAAATACAAATTTAAAGCTTCCTTTGAACTTGGAGCCACACCCCCACATAAACCCACCTGGGCAGTTTGGACGGTCACACGTCCTAGATTCCGTTGCGGTGCATGCATAGCCACAAGACCTGGTCCGCTTCTGGTTGCCATTCCCACAGGTGACGCTGCAGACAGACCAGAGACTCCAGTCGCCCTCACCATCTGTGGAATCTAGAAGGGAGTCAGGGAGATGGTCACAGCCGCACCGAGAGTCCCCAAATCCGCCCTGTCAAGCAGCCTGCTAATTGTTCGTTTCCATCATTCTCACTATTGGAGAGAACCAGATGCCAGCTGGAGTCAAAAGGCTTACAGCTCTAGGGTTCATTTTAGGGATTAGCTTCATGAAGGCAGGGACTCTGTCTGAGGTTTTGGGCACTGAGGTGGTCAGCACATGGCCAGGGCCTGACCCCTGGAAGTTGCATAGTAAGTGCTTATTGCGAACGCATACATTTGAAGAGCATGGCATCATGGTGTAAAATATGGTAGGTAGTTTTCAAAGATGATGACTATTAATTCTTTCCTTCCCTTTGCATACAGTTACACAGAGAAGAGAGAGAGAGCGAGAGAGAGAGTGCGCGCACGCAAGAGAGAAACAGAAATACTATGACATTATTTCCCCTTTCCTAGAATCTGTACTGGCTTTGAGGCCTGGCAGTTTTGACTTCTGCTCTGGGGAATCCAGTCACCATGAAAGAAGCTGAGGCTAAACCTGTGAATTATGGGACACCACAGAAGAGAGGAGCCACTTGAAGGACCACCAAGACACTGGACACGTGAGTGAAGTTTTCACGAACCTTTCAGCCCTTCCCAGTGGACAGCTGAATGCAGCTGATTTCCTCAGGAGTAGAGGAACTGCCCAGTGGGGCCCTGCCGGAACTCCTGAGCCACAGGATCATGAGAAATAATAAACTACTATTGTTTTAAGCCACAAAATTTTGAGATGGCTCATTTTGCAGCTGTAGATAACCTATACATGGCGATGAAGATAGAGATGGTCCTTTAAAGTCATTGCTTAACGTCCATCCAATATACACTCATTTGAGCCCCTATAAGATGCCAGGCCCAATTCTATCTATATAGGATATATCATTAAATACAACTTTCAAAGATTCACTGCCCTGATGGAATTAATACTTTAGCAAGAAGAGTCAGAAATGAGTAAATTGTACAGTATTTAGAAGTTGGTAAACGGTGTGGTAAAAGGAGAAGCAGACTGGTCTGGGGGCCCAGAGCCATGAGAGGGGCGAGAGAGGTTGGTATATCGTCAACACTAAATTCCTCTCTTTAAAAGTAAGAAACTAAGTCCTGGAGTGATTGAGTGCCTATGTAAAGTCATAATGGTGACAGAAAGGAAAACTTGGGCTCTAGTGTTAAGCCCTTAATCTCGAAAGCATGATTCTTTCTGCAGCATCTCTCCTGGCTTATCCAAATGTTCCTACAGATCTGGGGCCTCTGTTGGTGCCAAGCTCAGAGCTACAGGCAATGTGCCTTGCAGGGAAGGGGTTCTCTCCATTCATGACCGGTTGTGGTGATTGTTACTACGTAGGCCTGGCAAGAATGTAGTTCACACATGTTTCTACCTGAACTGAGGCCTGGTGCCAGCCTCCCAGGCAGTTGTTTACATGGCGTTCACTCTGAACACTCCTCAGGCAAACACGGGGCCCCCGAGTTTCCTCAGCTCATTCAGCAGAGTTGAAGTTGGGGGACAGGGAGGATTCATGGTTGTGTCTTCTTCCCTACTCCAAAGTGGAGCATTTGCTCACACCCAGCCTTCCCTCATGGGCCCCATCCATTTCTACCTCCTCCCAAAAAAGAATTTTTCTGAACTTTGATTTTCTTCTAAGAGATGGTTTTCCAACCACATGGCTAATCAGATGTTTGAAACTACTGCTCCATGTGAGAGAGCTGGGCTTGCTTCCCCAGCCTTAGCCTTCCTCATCCCTCCCATTTCTTACTAGGCACCAACATAGCAGAACTGAAGAGACATGTTTTGCTTCCAGAGGGAGAAACCACTGAGGTAGATAGGGGCTGCTGCTCTCTCCGAGACCCTTGCAGTCTGGTGTCTCTTGGTAATCTCCCCGAGAACAGTAGAGAGGCACCTGGAACGATCACACGCTCACACTCTTGTCAGCAGGAGCATCCAGATGCAGTGGGTTATATGCACACATGAACACATCCTACATGCACCACTGGGCCAGATTTGTTAAAGGGAACAACAGCAACAAGTCACAAGTAAAGATTATAATGTCTTTAGACTCATAAAAAGGGGGTAGTGGGTTAGTCAAAAAAAGCTTATTAAATCACACAGGCAGAGTTCATATCACCTGTGTGGTGGGTACTGGCATAAGACACAATCCAATGACACCAAGAGGAGACCTGCTTGACTCAGCAGAAGCAACGGGCCCACAACTATCTAGAAATCTCTTCAAACCTTTCCTCCCTGTCGCAGTAATATAGAGAGCTAATTTTGGGTAGTATCATTTGAGATTTTAGCATTAAACACACCACGAGGCTTATATCGGAATCGTTGAGTGAGGTAATTTCTTGTTTTGGTTTCTTGGATTGAAATTATTGGATGTTAATACTGTGTCAGAGTATGTAAAAAATAACTTCCATAATTCCTCTCCCCATATCCACCCCTTTGGTTACTTTCCTCTTATGCAGACCCTAGCCTGGAACACCTGACTTGCTTTGGCCAATGAGAAAATAGCAAAAGTGATGCAAACAGAGGCTAGAAAATTGTTCATGCATTAGAGGTTTGGTCTCTTGCTGTAGAGAATTCTTCCATCATGTGAAGAGCCTGGGGCCAGTGTCCTAGAGGGTGAGGAACCTGGTAGAGAGAGGCCCCAGCTGTCCAGCTGGGAGCCCATCATTGTAAGTAAAGCCATCCTACACAATCCAGCTCCAGCCAAGCCAGCCCAGAGCAGACAACCTGCAAACTTTTGAGAGAAAACATGTTTGTTTTTTTAAGTCACTAAATTTTGGGGGTGATTTCCTAAGCAACAAAAGTTAACTATTACAAATACACCATAAAATGTTTTCTAAGCTATCTCGATGGTTAGTAGACTGGAACCATAAAGGATTTCTTACCCAATAAGTGGGTTCTCCATGTCTTTATTTTAAGTGCTCACAAAGTCATTTATTTTCCAAGCATTTTTTTTATATGGGTCCCCCAAAGTTAGGCACAGAACAGTTACGTAGCCAGGTGGTTAGTCATTTCTATTGGGCTAGCAATGAAATAAAGCCGCTTTCTAGGGAAAGTGTCTATGTCAGCTCACCACCTTGAAGCCTTCATAGCACAATGTCCCAGATGAATGTTCCAGCAAAGAGCCTCCTCTTGGAGATTTCTATTTGTTTAATGTGTTCAAAGGACACGGACGGAATTTGACAGTGGAACAAAGCTTGGAGGGCAGTATTCCTTTATGCTATAATAAAATCAGCTTGTTTTCATTTGCTCACTTACCAGGGAACATCACTCAGAGCAAAAAATGAATATGAGAAGCAGCAATTGCAAAGATGACAACAATGACAGTGAAAAACAGTCTCTGTGAACATTTATATGGTGTTTTGACAGCCTCTACTGTGACATCAAATTGCTCAGCGAGGGAAGAAAACAATGCACAGTACAGTGGGCTGAGAGCTGGGTTTCGAGGATGTCATTTGAAAATTTAAAGTAGTCATTATATTGTTTCAGGGCACTAGAGTTCTGTGGGTCACTTATAATGTTTGGGCAACTGAAGTGACTTGGCAAGCCTCCACTGCTAATCGTAGGTGACAGTAGCTACCAATTACTGGAGGCTTTCTTTAAACAGCTGCTCTGTCTAACACACTGATATAACTCCGATAATAATCCTGCAAGGTAGGTGGAAACAGCCTCCTTTTATGGATAAGGAAACTGAGGCTCAGATAGGTTAAAGAACTTGCCTAAGGTCACACAGCTCAAACTTGGCAGAGCTGGGATTAGATACGAGGTTTGTCTGCTCCTGTCATATCCTGTTCTATACTCTGATATTCCTGTAGCTTTGATTCTGGACCAGGTTGGCCTCTTTTCTTTCACACGCACTTATTTGACTATAATTTAACATTAGCAAGAAAAACTCTTGAAAAAAAAATCACTGGGCAATCTTCTATTAAAATAGGACCATGACTGGTTAGAGAACTGAGTCCCAACCTAGGCTACAATAAGCAGTGCCCATTTGATTTAATTAGGCAGGCTGTTCTGAACAACTTTGGGAATGGTATGTTACTACTTGACAGAAAATGACTTATTTGAACTCTTCCTTTGCCCTGAGTGATACCTTGAGTATCAACACAGATGGTATTTAAAGTGCAGTATCTCAAACACATACAGTCCAAAGTTGAGTTGACTCATGTTTCCATGATCACGAGGTGTAACTAACTTCTGTTGTATATTTTATAATTGATTCTAAAAATGCCATTCTATTCTATTTATTTCACCTAGGATTCTTTGAAATTTTCTTTGGCCACGAACATTTAAATTCTTTTTAAAAATTCTACCTTTGAAAATCTGAGATCAACATCCTCCACAAAGACTAGTTCCTGTGGCAATTTTAGCTTGTCTCAGACGAGGCAGCATGAACTTAGTTAGGTAGAGCAACTTGCAGTGCTTTGCCATTGCATAAATCTCACTTTCTGGGCCATTTGTTTTCCCCTGTATCCTCCACAGCATTTAACATAGGAACAAATACTTAGAAATTGCTTCATAGTTTCTTGTTGATTAAAATAAAAGAAGACACAGGTCATCTAATGCTGTATGGAATTCTGAAAATCACATGTTCCTTATGACTCGGTCTGAGAAGCAAAAATTCTTCATTCATTTTGCAAATATTTTAAGCAGCTATAATATACACTGAAAGTGTGGTCCAAGGGCCAGCAGAGTCAGCTTGATCTGAGACGCTGCTCTGTTCCTACATCTACTGCATTGGAAACTGCATTTGAACAAGCCCCCTAGGTTATTTGTATGCACATTAAAGTTTGAGAAGCACTACTTTAGAGGTATTATAGAGCAGGGGTCCCAAACCCCTGGGCCGTGAACCAGTACTATTTTGTGCCCTGTTAGGAACCAGGCCGCACAGCAGGAGGGGAGCAGCAGGCCAGTAAGCGAAGCTTCATCTGTATTCGCAGCTGCTCCCCAGTTCTAGCATCACCGCCTCAGCTCCACTTCAGATCATCAGGCATTAGATTCTCCTAAGAGCACCAAAAAGGTTGGGGACCACTATAGAGGATGTATTTTTCTTTATAAAGTAGCAATTCTGACATCTACTCTAATGATGAGGAAGCTACAAAATCATAAAAGATGGGAGTTTCTTCATGGTCCATGGGTGCTATAAGATTCAGATGCAAAGTACTCTATAGAAAGCGGGGGTGAGGGTGGCTGAGGAAGCCACAGTAACTGCTCCACTGGAAGCAAATTCTATCCTCAAGATTGAAAGAGAAGAACGTTTCTAATGTTTGTGAATTTGGCAGAAGGTACCCTGTAAAAGCCTTAGATGAAAGAGTAGTTTCTAGCATTGATCTTTAAACTTCAGTGAGTATGACGATCACCTGATGACCTTGGCTGAAAAAAGAAACAAAGACAGACTCCAGATCTCACTGCTGGACATTCTGATTCAGTAGAAAGACAGCGGTGGCCTTCAATCTGAACTGTACTCTGGAGTCACTCATGGAGCTTTAAAAAACACCGTTGCATGGCCCTTGCCTCTAGAGATCCCAACTTATTGGTCTGGAGAAAAATCTGGGCATTTGGATTTTAAAAAAATTCCACAGGTGAGTATAATGAGCAACCAACCGCAAAGCATTCATCTAGAATAGTGGTGCTCAATGCACTAGAGAGCCCTGGAAAGTTTGTTCAAACATAGATTTTGGGGACCCATCCCAGAATGTTTGATTTAGTAGGCCTGGGTGTCAGGAGATTGAAAACTTGCATTTCTATCATGGTCCCAGGTGATGCTCAGGCAGCTAGTGTGGGGACCACAGTTTGAAGACTATGAGATAGAGGGACAGGGTTGAGGCTAGGACTGACATTTTTTAACTTGCAACCAAGGGATTCTGGTGCCATTGATCTAAGCCCCATTCATAGAAACAATGTTCTGTGTGGGCAAACAGGTTAAGCCACGAAGCTGTGCAATGTCAGGCTGGCTCCCAGGGATCCCGTGTGTGTCTCTGTTCAACAGCACTGGACTTTTCCTCCCACTCCTATCTTCCAATCTAAGTGGTCATTTCTAGATCCACTCTATTGTCCTAAAGGATGTGCTATTTTCCCCCAGGGAAGCAGAATAACATAGTGATTAAGAGGACAGACTCTGGACCCAGATTGACTGAGATGAATCCTTGAGATTAAGTTGCTTAACTTCTCTAGGCTTCAGTTTGCTCATCTGTAAAATGGGGTACCTGCCGCAGAGAGCTGATTAAATGAGCTAATATATGTTAGAAGCCATCAAGACGTATTGGTGCAAGGTAAGTCCTGTATATATGTTGGCTACTATTCCCAGTCCTTCCTCTTGGACAATAGATAAATTAGACTTCTTCTGGGAGAGGGAGAGGTTCCACGAGCCTCCTGGCTAGAAGAGGTATGAGAGCTCTCCTTTTGCTCTCCCAGTATTTGATGTGTATTTTATCATGGCACTATTTTGCTCTATCAGTTAATTTTTCTCCCCTTGTCCATGGACAGGTAAGGCCCTCT